CTGGGTTTTTTGTTTTTCCATATGAAGTTGAGTATTGTTCTTTCCAGATCTGTGAAGAATTGTGTTGGTATTTTGATGGGGATTGCACTGAATCTGTAGATTGCTTTTGGTAAGATTGCCATTTTTTTACTATGTTAATCCTACCTATCCATGAGCATGGGAGATCTTTCCATTTTCTGACATCTTCTTCAATTTCTTTTTTCAGAGACTTAAAGTTCTTGTCATACAGGTCCTTTGCTTGCTTAGTTAGAGTTACCCCAAGGTATTTTATATCATTTGTGGCTATTGTAAAGGGTGATGTATCTCTGATTTCCTTCTCAGCCTGTTTGCCATTTGTATATAGGAAGACTACTAATTTTTTTGAGTTAATCTTGTATCCTGCTACATTGCTGAAGGTGTTTATAAGCTGTATGAGTTCCTTGGTCGAATTTTTTTGGTCAGTTATGTATACTATCATGTCATCTGCAAATAGTGAAATCTTGACTTCTTCCTTTCCAATTTGTATCCCCTTGATCTTCTTATGTTGTCTTATTTCTCTGGCTAGAACTTCAGGTACTATATTGAATAAGTATGGGGAGAGCAGACAGCCTTGTCTTGTTCCTGATTTAAGTGGAATTGCTCTGAGTTTCTCTCCATTTACTTTGATGTTGCCTGTTGGCTTGCTGTAAATTGCCTTTATTATGTTTAGGTATGTTCCTTGTATTATTGATCTCTCCAAGACCTTTATCATGAAGGGGTGTTGGATTTTGTCAAATGCCTTTTCAGCATCTAGTGAGATGATCATGTGTTTTTCTTTTCTTTGAGTTTGTTTATATGGTGTATTACATTGACAGACTTTCATATGTTGAACCACCCTTGTATCCCTGGGATGAAGCCTAGTTGATCATGGTAGATAATTGTTTTGATGTGTTCTTGGAGTCTGTTTGCCAGTATTTTATTGAGTATTTTTGCATCAATGTTCATGAGGAAGATTGGTCTGTAGTTCTCTTTCTTTGTTGCATCTTTGTTTGGCTTAGGAATCAGGGTAATTGTAACCTCATAGAAGGAGTTTGGTAATGTTCCTTCTGTTTCTATTGTGTGGAACACTTTGAAGATTATTGGTATTATCTCTTCTTTGAAGATCTGGTAGAATTCTGTGTTGAATCCATCTTGTCCTGGGCTTTTATTTTTTGGTTGGGAGACTTTTAATGACTGTTTCTATTTCCTTAGGGGTTATTGGTCTATTTAAATAGTTTATCTGGTCTTGATTTAACTTAGGTATGTGGTACCTATCCAGAAAATTATCCATTTCTTTTATATTTTCTAGTTTTGTGGAGTAGAGGTTTTTGAAGTATGACCTGATAATTCTCTGTATTTCCTCAATGTTAGTTGTTATGTCTCCCTTTTCATTTCTGATTTTGTTAATTTGGATGCTCTCTCTGCCTTTTTGTTAGTTTGGCTAAGTGCTTGTCTATCTTGTTAATTTTCTCAAAGAACCAAGTCTTTGTTTCATTGATTCTTTGTCTTGTTCTCTTTGTTTCTATTTTATTGATTTCAGCTCTCAATTTTATTATTTCCTGGCATCTAATCCTCCTGGGTGACTTTGCTTCTTCTTGTTCTAGAGCTTTCAGGTGTGCTGTTAAGTCACTAGAGTGAAATTTCTCCAACTTCTTTATATGGGCATTTAGTGCTATGAATTTTCCTCTTAGTACTGCTTTCATAGCATCCCATAAGTTTGGATATGTGATGTATTCACTTTCATTGATCTCTAGGAAATCTTTAATTTCTTTCTTTATTTCTTCCTTGACCCCTTGGTGATTCAGTTGAGCATTATTAAGTTTCCATGAGATTGTAGGCTTTCTGTAATTTTTGTTGTTGTTGAAGTCTAATTTTAAACCATGGTGGTCTGATAGAACACAGAAAGTTTTTCCAATTTTTTTGTATCTGTTGTGATTTGCTTTGTGGCCAAGTATGTGGTTGATTTTAGAGAAGGTTCCACAGGGTGCTGAGAAGGTATATTCTTTTTTGTTAGGATGGAATGTTCTGTAGATATCGATTAAGTCCATTTGAGTCATGGCATCAGTTAAGTCCTTTATTTCTCTGTTAGGTTTCAATTTGGCAGGTCTCTCCAGTGGTGAGAGTGGGGTACTGAAGTCTCCCACTATTAATGTGTGGGGTTTTATATGTGATTTAAGCTTTAGTAATGTTTCTTTTACATATGTGGGTGCCCTTGTGTTTGGGGCATAAATGTTCAGAATTGAAACTTCATCTTAGTGGATCTTTCCTGTGATGAGTATGTAATGCCCTTCTTGATCTCTTTTGATTGATTTTAGTTTGAAGTCTATTTTCCTGGATATTAGGATGGCTACACCCACTTGTTTCTTAAGATCTTTTGATTGGAAAGTCTTTTTCCAGCCTTTTATTCTTAGGTAGTGTCTATCTTTGAATTTGAGGTGTGTTTCTTGTATGCAACAGAAACATGGGTCCTGTTTTCATATCCATTCTTTTAGCCTGTGTCTTTTTATAGGTGAATTATGTCCATTGATATTAAGGGACTATTAATGACCAGTGATTGTTCATTCCTGCTATTTTTGGTGGTAGTATATGTGTACTTCTCTTCTTTGGGATTTACTGCTGTGGGGTTATCTGTTTGCCTGTGTTTTCATGGGTATATCTGACTTCCTTAGGTTGGAATATTCCTTCTAGTGCTTTCTGTAGGGTGGGATTTGTGGACAAGTATTGTTTAAATCTGGTTTTGTCTTGAAATGTCTTGTTCACTCCGTCTATGATGATTTAAAGTTTTGCTGGGTATATTAGTCTAGGATGGCATCCATGGTCTCTTAGTGTCTGCATTACATCTGTCCAGGTCCTTCTGGCTTTCAAAGTCTCCATTGAGAAATCAGGTGTTATTCTGATGGGTTTACCTTTATAAGTCACTTGGCCTTTTTCCTTTGCTGCTCTTAATATTCTTTCTTTATTCTGTATGTTGAGTTGTTTAATTATTATGTGGTGAGGGGACTTTCTTGGGGGGTCTAGTCTGTTTGGTGTTCTATAGGCTTCTTGTATCTTCATAGACATTTCCTTCTTTAAGTTGGGAAAGTTTTCTTCTATGATCTTGTTGAATATATTTTTCTGTGCCTTTGAATTGGTATTCTTCTCCTTCCTCTATCCCTATTATTCTTACATTTGGTCTTTTCATGGTGTCCCAGATTTCTTGGACATTTTGTGTTATGAGTTTTTTGGCTTTGGTATTTTCTTTGACTGATGAATCTATTTCCTCTATTGTATCCTCTACACTAGAGATTCTCTCTTCCATCTCTTGTATTCTGTTGGTTATGGTTGCATCTGTGTTTCCTGTTCGTTTACTCAGATTTTCTATTTCCAGCATTCCCTCTGTTTGTGTCTTCTTCATTGTTTCTATTTCCCTTTTCATGTCTTGAACTGTTTCCCTCACCTGTTTCGTTGCTTTTTCATGGTTTTTTTAAAAGGGATTTATTGTTTTCTTCTGCTTTATTTGTCTTTTCCTCTATTTCTTTATAGATTTCTTTCCATTTTTTGTTTGACTTTTTCTCAATTTCTTTATTGATTTCCTCCACTTTTTTGTTCACCTTTTCCTCAATTTCATTTTTTCTTTAAAGGCCTCTAGCATCTTCATAATGCTATTCTTAAGGTTGCTTTCTTCTGCTTCTTCTACCTTGTGATGTTCAGGTCTTGCTATTGGAGGAGGGCTAGGATCTGGTGAAGCTGTATTACTCTTTATGTTGTTGTGTGTGCTTCTGCTTTGATGTCTGCCCATCTCCTAGTTTAATAGGTATAAGAGGTGCCTGTGTCTGAGGGAGTTGCTGTTGGTCCACTCTGTGCTTGTTGTGTCTTTGTCTCAGGGGGCCCTTCTGGGTCTAATCTTAGCTCTTTGTCCAACTGGAGCAGGCAGCTTCTATGTCTCAGAGAGTTGCTCTTGGGTCAACCAAAACTAGTTGATTCTGTGACTCATGGATTCATTCTTGGTCTTATCAGGGCTCGTGGTCCAGTCAGAGCTGACAGATTCTGTGTTTCAGGAAGCCTCTCTTGGTCTAATGAGAAGTGACAGATTCTACTTCTCAGAAAGTCACTCTTGGTCTAATGAGCGCTGGCAGATTCCCTGTCTCCTGAGGTTACTCTTGGTCCAATGACAGCTCTTGGTCCAATGAGAGCTCTCTTTCTAGACCCAATGAAAGCTCTCTCTCTCTCTCTCTTTCTGGTCTGGATGGGAGCTGGGGATTGGTTTCCAAGCCTCATGAAGTGCCCGGGCCATTGGGCAGATAGGTATGGAGGCAGGGCATGTAAATTGCAGGGTCCACTGGGGTGTCTTGGAGAAGGGGAACCTTCCCGCAGGAGCCCTGCAAGCTGGCCGACAACTGGGGCCTAGTTGGGCAGCTGTTCCCCAGTAAAGGCTGGGTCCCAGGAATGAGTCCTAGGGGCAGGCCTCCCTCTAGTTTTACTGATTTTATAGATCAATTTTTTAAAAGCGAATATTATAAATTCATATGTGATATGTGTTACTTTTTATTAATATACTTTCATACACATCTATCTATATTTAAAACAATTCTGCTTTCTTTTTTATTGCTTTTTCCACTTAGGTGGAAAAATAAATTGCTCTTGAGAGTGTAATCTGTGTTTGGATTCTCTATTTAGTGCATCTCCTGCCCATCCTTAAGTCAGCACACAATGTATGTAAGCTTTGATTAACATTCTGTAACTCCTCTAGAATCATTGTTTTTCACATAGTGCAACTGCTCTAGAATCTTCATTTTTCTGGTGATTTTGACTATATCTAATACTGCACATTTTCATAAAGGTTTGACTAGGCTCAAACTAAATTTATTTTCAGACAATTTGGTATTTCAGCAATGTTGGTTTTCCCAACATGTACAGGTTTCTATACATTAAGTTAGACTGAAATGCATTCAGTAGTCATTTTCAGTTGTTGCTGTAGCTTCACAAATCTGGGTTCATGTGCCTTAAGTCATGTTATGTTACAAATGCAAAATTACCCCCAGACTGGTCTGTACTATGACCCCAACTCCCAGTATTACTACAATGCTCAGAGCCAACAGTACCTATACTGGGATGGGGAGCGGCGGACCTACATACCTGCCTTGGAGCAGTCTGCTGATGGACATAAGGAGACGGGGCCATCATCAAAGGAGGGAAAAGAGAAGAAAGAGAAGCATAAGATGAAGACAGCCCAACAGATTACCAAGGACATAGAGCGGTGGGCCCGTAGTCTCAACAAGCAAAAAGAAAACTTCAAAAACAGCTTCCAGCCTATTAGTGCCCTACAAGATGATGAAAGGCGGGAATCGGCCACTGCAAATGCAGGCTATGCCATCCTTGAGAAGAAGGGAGCACTAGCTAAAAGACAGCACACCAGCATGGATCTCCCAAAGTTGGCCAGTGATGACCGCCCAAGTCCACCTCAAGGTCTGGTGGCAGCCTACAGCGGGGAGAGTGACAGTGAGGAGGAGCAGGAGCGAGGAGGTCCTGAGTGGGAAGAAAAGCTCACAGACTGGCAGAAGCTAGCCTGTCTGCTCTGCCGCCACCAGTTTCCCAGCAAGGAGGCACTCATCCGGCACCAGCAGCTCTCTGGGCTCCACAACCAAAACCTTGAGATTCATCCGCGAGCACACTTGTCAGAAAACGAATTGGAGAGATGGCTCAGAGATTAAGAGCACTGATTGTTCTTCCAGAGGTCCTGAGTTCAATTCCCAGCAACCACACCCAGCAGGTGGTGGCTCATAACCATCTGTAATGAGATCTGGTGCCCTCTTCTGGACTGCAGTCATACATGCTGTATACATAACAAATAAATAAATCTAAAGTAAAAAAAAAAAAAAAAAAAAAAAATCCCGGAGCCACCAGAGCCCAAAGGGAGGAAATACGGTGGCATATCTACAGCCTCTGTTGACTTTGAACAGCCCACTTGGGTTGGATTAGGCAGTGACAACATTGGCAGTTGTATGCTCCAGGCCATGGGCTGGAAAGAAGGCAGTGGTCTGGGTCGCAAGAAACAGGGCATTATGACACCCATTGCACGGGTTCGAGGTTCTGGCCTGGGTGCCCAGGGCAGTTCTTATGGGGTCACCTCAACAGAATCCTACAAAGAGACACGGCACAAGACAATGGTGACCCGCTTCAATGAGGCCCAGTGAACAACTTTGAAAGCAGTTTCTACAGGTGTGGGGTGTCCATCCAGGGACAGAGAAGATGAGGTGTGAAGTGGTCTGAGGGAGGCTCTTCTGTCTACCAGCCTGCTCCCCAGCCAGAGAAGCTCTCACCAAATTAGACTTGGAGTTGGTGACTTTTGCTGGGAAATTGGACTCAAATCATGTTCCTTTTGTAATAAAATCTAAAAAGCCTAAAAAAATGCAAAATTATAAATTTAGTTTCTTAATTATTAGTTGCAAGTATAGAAAAGATATAGTTGACTTATATTGCCTTTGTACGCTCAGATCTTACTAAGCTCGTTAATTGATATACTTTGAAATTTCATTAATACCTTAGAATTTGGTATAGGTATCACTGAGTCATTTGTGAACTCTTCCTTTACAGATGGCAACCCTTTGCTCTTGTCACTATTTATGGTTCAGTTTATATAATCTCCAAAATCTTGCTACTTGTAATGAGTGAAAGCCAGGATCTCTATCCTGTTCCTGATCTTAGAAAAAAGGCATTGGGCATGTAATATTCAGTCTAATGTCTAGGTAAGACTTTCAGGGATTTCTATGGAAGATTTACATATTGCATTGATGAGTTTTTATTATATATGAGTGTTATATTTTTGTATGTATGTGTCTATTGACATAATTATGGGACTTTTTTTCTCAATTTGCTCATTTTATGACATTATATACGAACATACATATAATTTGATCCTGAAATTATTTTATAAAATATTACTATGATTCTTTAAATAGTTGATACAGCTTAAAAATGAAAGCACCTTGGTTTGGGGTTTTGTTTTGAAGGTTTTTGGATGACATTTCTTTGATGATGTGGGGGAAGGCACCCTGCTGTTATTCTTAGGTGGGAGTGGATGTTAGGGATCCTAATTGGAATCTCCTTGGATTAAGAGAGCCTCATTTCTGCTCCTCACATATCTTATGCTGAAGCCAAGTTTGAGACGGCTTTGGTATTTCTAGACAGTGATGAGATCCTGTCTACTCAGCCATGCTTATATCACATACTGAGGAGCAAATTGAACACCCCTCTATTGCTCTTGATGATGGAAGTTCAGACTCCCTATTATGGTCTCTACTGGCCTTCAGTTGGGGTTTCATGACACTGAAGAAGATAAAAGTCTGAAACTTTTGTCACTTGCCACAACACCACCCCATCAGGAAGGTTGGCTTTTTACTTGTCTTTGTTGGTGCAAATATGGGAGTCTAATCTTCTGTAATATTTTGCCTAAGTGACAAGATTATTGTCCTGTGTTATTTTATCTTACAATAAGTTGTCCCTTGCTTGTCTTATTAGTTAGAGAAACAAACTTCAGCTGGAACTTTTTCTATGTTTATCTATTGGCATTTCCAAACTTTCAGTTTTGTCTAAGGATAAGGCATAGAGAACTACAGTTCTATGGAATGCATCACTATGTTCATAAAAAACTTTTTTTGAGAAACACTGCATTTTAGGTGAAAAGAAAATTCCTTTTAAACATCATATTTTCCATTCAAGTAAAAGATATATTAGGTTATACTGTGTAAGGCATTCAATATTTTACTTTTATTTTTAGTGCTGAGGATTGAAAAATCCTGGGCCTAGTGCACACAAAGCAATTTCTTTTTCCAGTGAGCTGAGTTCCCAGCCTGACATTTCATTTGAAGCTATAAACCTCTGTTTCTTAATAGTATGCTAGATAGGACATTTGACAGTTAATTCTGAATAGTGCATTTTTTTTCTCGCCTAGCAGATAGCATAGATAATCTAGTAAAATAATGTCATGTTTGTATTTCTGAAGACTTCTTGTTCATATGAACAGCTTTATAGGTTCTCAGAGTTGCAAACTCTTAACATGCACCATGGTGAGCTATTAAGCCAATTTAAGTTGTGTTACAACTAAGGAAGGAAATATAAGATGAAAATACCTTCCCAGTGAGACTCTTCTACAAGCACCCTTAAATGGCTGTTCCAAGAATCCTTTGGCAGTAAAAGAGCACACTGTTTCAAAGAACAGGAAAGCAGAGTGGAGAGTAGTAACTATTATTACTGAGAATATGGTGGTGTGACCTATAAACTGTCCAGGAGAACCTGTGTTAGGAAATGGCTTGAATGTATCACAACAAAAATCAGATTTTGCCAACTTGATAATTTCAGTCCAGACTTCTCAGACAGCTGCTGCATTTCAGATGATGCCAAGCCACGTGAGCATGCCAATGTTTGGATTCTTTCAGACCTAGTAAATCCAATTGACTGTCCCTCCAATTGCTAAGATTTCTCATCTGGAACATATCTGGGAGAGGTGCAAACAAAACGAGATTCTGGTAAATCAGCTTCTCTACTGTCTTTATGTTAAATGAATACTCACTCCTCGTGACTTTTTTTTAAATCATACTTATGTTTCAAATCTATTCATTTCACCAAATGAAAATCAAATGCAAATTTTTATACAGCTACAAGAAGACTGATAAAGATCAAACTCACTCAAAAAGAAAGTAAGTTGTTGCCTATAAAAATGATTATGTTTCTCCAGGTCTTGCACAGTTCTCTGATAAACTATATAAGAAGTGCATTTTTATTCTTATCATTTTCATTTACTTTAGTATTCTGGGCTACTTGGATTATTTTTTCCCTTTTTTAAAGTTTCATTTGCTTGAGTGAGATAAATCTACAATATAATTGAAGCTATTAAAAAAAGGTAAAATTAATTTTGATTACTGTTTTATAAGATTAATATCTTAATTTTAAAAAGTAAATTTCTTCTTTAAGTATTTTTATTTAAGATTTACCCTACATTTTCTTTTACTATATTATATTGGTAACTTTTTTTCTGTATGAAGAAATTTTTTATTCATTTTATATACCATCCATAGACTCCCTTCTCATCTTTCCTCCTGCTCCCCCCTAATCTTCCCTGAACCCACCCCATTCATGCTAATATATAAATTTAATTTGAACATATCCCTCATCTCCCCTGCCAATCCCCTTTCTCTCTGCCCCATTAATCCTCTTTTCTTTTTCTTTTTCTTTTTGGCAAATCAGGACAGTTTATTTATTTATTTTTCTTTTTTAAGAAATTTTCTACTCACTCATCATGCTATCCACATTTTCTCATTTATGGGTTCTAGATTTTATGTAGATATGTAAGTTAATCTGTGTTCAGGTGGCATGAAGGCCAGAGGGGATGGTGGACACCAAGAGAACAAGGGCTTCTGAATCAACTGAGTAAGGCTCATATTAACTCACAGAGAAGAAGCAACAAGTACAGGGCCAACAGGGGTCTGTACTACATCCTCTAGTATTTTTAGGAGACTCCTGAATGTGTGCATGAGTGGGTCTCTTATTCTTGTGTCTGCTCTTGGGGCTCCTTTCCCTCTGATGAGTTGCCTTGTCCAGTCTCCATGTGACAGTTTTTGTCTTAATTATTATATTTTATTTTGTCATGTTTGATTGTTAACTCTTAGAAGCACATTTATTTCTAATGAGAGAAAGTGAATAGATCTGGAGGGGAGGGAAAAGTGAGGAGGACTGGGAGGAGTAGAGGGAGAGGAAACTATAGGTAAGATATGTTGTATGAGAAAAGTCTACTTTCAATAAGAGGAACAATGGAAATTTTGATTAATTTATTTTAATGAAAACTCATATGAAAGTGTTGAGTGTGATTTCATCAGCACTAAGTCATATAATAGCATGCTCATCTCTGTCTCATGAAGATCTGTTTGTGTGGAAAATTGTCATTTTCTGCCATCTTTTCCCCCAGACAATTAGGAAAAATGTTTGCTGATAATCTTATTTTATTTTGAAGTGTAGATATTATTTCAATATAAGTGCTTTACGGTTAACTATTGTCAAAAACAATAATTCAACACTAAAAGGCTCACTTTTGCCAGCTTTTGTCTACTGTGTACAACTTATGGGTCTGTCGGAGGCAGCAATGTGGTTTAGATACACAGGGATGCTTTTTTAGAAACTGTTCTTTGTGGATTGTTTTGTTTTGTTTTTGTTTTTTTTGAAAAATTCAACCTGGTGGCACATTATCAAGATTTTTAAAAAAATATTTTCGTTAGTATTTAAAATACATTTTGTATTTCATGGCTAATATGTTCATTGTTCACATGATGCTGCATACTCCTAAATCACATCAAGGGTTAAATGACTACTTCATGCAGTATACCAGCAGCTTCAGAGTCACTTTGGAGAAAAGCTGTTCCTGTCTATCATTATACACTTGTCTTGGGAAACATAAGGCTGATTCTACTTAGGTTATGTATCCTGATTAGAGAACTTCATTTTCATAAGGCTTCAGTGTGAATTTTGAACCATCAGTTTGCCAAGGAAAACACGAGTCCTCTATTGTTAGATGTTAGATGTTCTGCAATTATATTTCCCAGAAAAAAATGCCTACAGAAAAAGCAATCTATTAGTTCCAGGCATTTAAATTTTTACCATGGACTCAAATCATGTTGTTAACAAGCTATAGTCCTGACCAACACAGTTTAGGTGTTTTATA